GTTCTCTGGGGTGGTTGGTGGCGGCGGAGGAAGGGCTTTGGGTGGTCACGTGCTCGGCCTGGTCTCACGGATGGAATCCAGCGGGCGGCGTGGGTTGGGGCAATGGCTCGGCGTGGGTGCTGCTCCAGCCGTGGGCGGCCGCGGTGCTCTATGGTCCATGCAGCAGCCATCCAGTGACGCATCGGCTACACGGTGGTTCGGCGGCTCTGCCAGCGGCGATGCTGGCTCTACTCCGGCGTCGGCTCGTCTGCGGGCGGACCGTGTCGACCTTCGCTTCATCTTCTCATCGTTCAGGCTCTACTTCTGTCGAAAGGGCTGGCCCTCTCCCAGCTGCGGTCCATCACTCATCTCGCGCCCGGCGCGGTGGGACCGACCTCGTCTCGCGCACGGTGTCGTAGGACCAATCTTGTCTCGCACATGGTGCAACAGGACCGACCTCATCTCACGCATGGTGCCGCAGGACCGAGCTCGTCTCGTGCCCGGTGTGGCAGGACGAGTTAATGGAGGCCCGTTTTGACCGGCCTATTGGGTCTCGGCGCTGGGGGATGTCCAGTGGTTTGAAAGGCGGGATCTTTCCGCTCGTCTCTTTGGTTGGGGTAGCGGCAGATCTCTGGTGTGGTGGTGTCTAGGTCTTCGATGCCGGGGCGGCGTTCCTGGGGATGGTGGTTGCACTGTGCTCTTGGGCCGAGCCCGTGGCTTGGTGCTGCCGGGTGGCCATGGTCGTGTGGGCGGCATGGTAGCCGGGGTGTGGAGATCGGTGGCGGTGAGTGTTGTCCGGGGTCAAAACCTGTTCTATGTTTGGGCGGACCGGTGGCAGCGAGCTCGTTCCCTTCTTGAAGGCGTTGTCGCGGCTCTCACTGCCCTTTGTGCGGCTCGAGGGGAAACTTTGATCTTCGGATCGGACGGTGGTGGCACTTCAGTGTCGTATCCTTCCTGAAGGCGCCGTCTTGGAGCCCACGGTTCATCGTATGCGGTTCCGTCTCTTCAGGATAGTGTTAGGGGTGGTGTTGCTGCGCTCAGCGACTATGTATCTTGTCCTGGGTGTGTGCGTGTGTTGTGCTGGCATGCGTTTGTATCGGGTGCGTTTGTATCGGGTGATGTTTTGCTGGCGTGTGTTGTGCTGGCGTGCGTTTATAATGCAGAGCGGAAGCCTTTTTCGGTAAAAAAAATGTTCATCAGCATCACATAAACAGTTGTTGATGAGTTTACTATTTTATTGGAAACATACAAATAGAATATATAATTGAATAAACTATATTAATAAAAATTTGAATGAACGTCAAGTACATGGGCTACGCCCTTGGACCAGCTAACGAGCCTGGCCCATGCTGGAACAACCAAGATAAGAGGCTGAGAGGAAGGGACGAAGAGACCATCCAGTGGATCAAGAACGACTTTGGCGGATTTCTACTACCTCTCGTTCTTTACCAAAAAAAAAAAAAACAACGGGCTCCTTCTCCCTCAACCGCCTTCTTGCTCCCACCTTGTATCTCTCCTCCATTAGTAACCCAGTTCATGTAATCTACTCAGTACCTAGCGTTATTAGTGAAGCAGGTACTTAACATCTCGTATTTAGAGCCAGACACTACCCTGCACCCTTCCCCAATTTTTTTCACCACCACGGTCCAAGGGAATAGTTGAAGGGCCATGGATCCATCCTCCCTCAGATCCTCAAATCCTCGATCAATGAGTATCTCGAGCGGCTCAACGCCATGCTCGATGTGAACACCGGCGCCATCAAGTCCCTCAACACAAAATTGGACGCTCTAGGGTCACGAAGACGCCCGCCTTCGTCGACAATCCACCATAGTTGATCCCCTCGCTTTGTGAGCCACTAACGAGGCGTCAACGCCCGTCCCCAATGTCTCCAGCTCCACCACAAGGGACTAGGAGGTACTTCAGGTCATCCACGACACAACCCCTACCTGCATAGCGAAGGCGCGATGGAATGTTCGTACCATGCATGTCACCACCACCGACATCGTCAATGAGTTCCATGACACCACTGCAGCCATCTTAACTGTGCATGCAGTTAGCCTCTATCCCACCTTTGGCACCACTGTCCACATCACCAAGGATTTCATACCCGTCCCCGACGACGTCATTGCCCAACTCATGCATATGGCAACTCATATCTGTGCAACCAGCAGCGGTGGTGGCAACGTCACTCTCCGTTAGTAGGAGCTTCTCCCCCCTTCTTCTTGGACTCTGCCTGGCCATTCTCATCTAAGACATGGGCCCCACCCCTCTTCATCATCTCCAAAGCTGGTAAGTAGAACACAAACACCCATCCTTTGTTAGGTCGTTTGTTAGGACTACGTAGGATCGATTGCGCCATTGCTGACCGCACAATCGATGTCACCTAGGTTGTGGACGAACGGATGAAGCTCGTAGTTCAGGTAGCAACACTGGTCGCTATGATCCAGGCCTGGAACCTGTTGGTCAATAAGAGAGCTACGTCGGAGTGACAAGCATGTGAGCCATTATGGTCCAATGTGAATTTGATTTCAGGAAAGGATAGCAAATTTGAACTACAGCAACACCGAAGCTGTATGGACGCTATGAATGAAAGCAACACCTTTCTCCATGCTTGTGCAGACGTTCAGGAGCAGGGGTTTCTAGAAGATAGCATCCATACTAGTGTGGAAAAGCAAGTTGTTATGTTCCTCCATGTTGTAGGTCATAGTCAGAGGTTCAAGGATATCCACAACACGTCCAGAAGATCAATGGAGACTATTTCGAGGTATTTCATGAAGTGTTGTATGTTGTTGGGGAGTTCAGAGGAGAGATGGTCAAATCACAAGCCCAACAAACTCCTAGCAAGATTTGCACTAGCCCAAGATGGTATCCGATTTCAAGGTGAGCACTACTCATAGTTCATGCCTTCATATACTATGTTTTGGTGCGTCCATAACACCATCTTGCCATGCCATTTTTAGCATTGCATTGGTGCAATAGATGAAACTCATGTGACTGCTAAATTGCAGGTGATAGTCAGCAGCAGACAGGGCTAGAGACTACTACACAAGTCAAAATGTTCTTGTTGTGGTGGACTTTGATCTGAAGTTAACTTATGTATTAACTGCTGGGAAGGATCACCCCATGATAGATCATTCTAACTGACAGCATGTCTCGACCTGATGGCATCAATATCCTCGATGGCAAGTTCTACCTCGAAGATCCTGGTTATGCATGCCAGACAGGTGTTCTTTCACCCATCGGGAAAACCAGGGAACATCTGAACGAGTTCTCTGATAGAAACTATCCTAGGACTGCACATGAATTGTTCAATCTAAGACACTCTAGCATTAGACTTGCGGTTGAGATGACACTTGAAGCTCCAAAGAAAAGATTTAAGATCCTGGATCAGAAAACATATCACCCTTACCGCATCAGGTTAAGTTTGTTCTTGTATATTGCATCCTTCACAACTAGATCCTACAATGGGTTGTGATGACCTTGTGCCAGAGGAGAAAGAGGTGACGTTTGATGATGTTGTTAGCTCAGGCCATGGTATGAAGGCATTTGACAATGCAGCAGCAGGAAGTAGAAGAGGATGAGGATGGATTTCCACCTAGTTAGCATCGATTAGCTTTCTCCTCTTTAGCCATATGGCTCTTAAATTTGTACTGCAGTTTGTAAGTAGTTAGGATAAACTGCCATTCATTTCTTAGGTAATGATGTTTAAATCATGTGTGGTAAGCTCACCACCAGTGAGAAGTGGTGATCACAACCTACGTTGTTGCAAAGACACAACATGTAATTTGTCCGTCCAATGCAACGTACGCAACCAAACATTGGGTCAATATTGATCCCCTCATGCAGAGAGCCTAAATGCAGGTAACCAAACTATGTGTACATGATGGTTTTTTGCTGGACATTCAAAATGGTGCCTAAGCTCATCTACACCAGATGAACAGTAAAACAAAAGAATAGTCCAAGGAGCTCGTGCCAAAAAAGATAAAATCAGCTATGAAGTGCCTTTTTAAAACTATCCGAAGTTTATCTTTTTTGTCATGACCTTCTTGAATGTCCAGACTCCATCAAATTTGGCACAGCCATCACACGCACGCACAACAAACCAAATTCAGAAGTTTTTAATTTTTATTACTATTTTAAATTATTTTATTGTTCATGAATGAGAGCATCTAGAGCTAGGTGCTGAAACACCGCGTCCGGTTCAGGCAGGCTCAACTGAGATACACATGCAAAATGGCAAAAAAATGGTGCAGATAACCAAACGCGTCTATAGCAAATGAGATGAAGGCCGTGAGCTCAACGGAGATACGTCGCGGCCGGCCCATCATTTTAATTTTTCTTATATCCTTCTCTTCACCCACTGATAAACGGGACCCACATTGAGAGTTAGTGGTGTAACCTGTTGCTGACACATTTGCATGCCTGACTAGCGAAATACGAAGAGGGTGTGGCTAGATCTTAGACGACTAAGATCAAATCTCAGTAAGACAACATAACATATAAGCAGAAAAAGGAAAATTACACAGATCTTCATGTAAGATCTTACGAATATAGCATCGACTCAGACTTGGTTAAGTCCTAGTCCACTCAGATTTACCACGCCTGATACGAGAGCTGTTGCTGGCTCATGAGTGTTGGGTTGTACACTGCCCGACCAGCTGCTACTCCTACATTGCTGGTAGATAGACCATATATGCGGTGGACGAAGGTACATTAGAGTCGGTACAGTGCAAAACGGGAAGCACGCGGAGACCAGACCACCATTATTCACCCGCCGTACGTCTACAGCACCGGCGGGCGATCAATTCCTCCATGAGCTGCCCAACATCGTCGTACGACGACCCACCCTTCTCCACCGCGGCCCTCGCCTTGTCGCGGAGCTCATCAGCTTTCTTTCGTATCGTGACGCCGTCGCCCTCCTTCATCACTTTCCGGATGGATTCGGCGATCACCTGGCCGGTGATAACCCAGTGGGTCTCAATCCATGTTGCGTAGTTCTCGGCACCGACGCCGACGCCCACCTCAAGCACCTCCACGACGAGCTTCTCGTTGTGAAACTGGTCGGCGTACCGCGGCCACGTCACCATCGGCACGCCGGCGCTCACAGCCTCCAGCGTGGAGTTCCACCCGCAGTGCGTCATGTAACTACCAACGGCAGGGTGGTTCAAGATGAGCACCTGCGGCGCCCAGCCCCGGATGATGTACCCGCGGTGCGCCATCGGGAACCCGTCTGGCATACACAGATCCGTTGATGCACTTCCATTGGCGATGTGACAGTGATGACCGCATTTAATCTGTGCTGCAGACAGCTCGATTGTTGAGTAGATAGGAATTGGACATGTGAGGTAGCTAGATTAGTCGGTCAGAATTTACACATGCAATTAAGAGGACGTCGGTGGTTGCTGTCATGCATTCAACTCAAATCAATCGCGAGTTTGAGAGGTTTGGGTCCCAACCTACCGAGAGCATTGTATAAATATGTATAAAGTTTTACTCTGTACTCAAACGGTGCAAAGTTTGACTAAATATGTATAAGAAAACTAAACCAAATTAATTGGTATCATTAGATGGGCAAAATACAGTGTATTTTCATATATAATATAATGGTTCATAGTTTTGTTTAGCTGTGCTCCGAGGATTGCACATGCTTTGAGGAAGTACGTTTCCTCTATATGATTCCTCGGTACAGGTCGGAATTAATCATGGTGCAGAGATGATTCATCTTTTGACTCTAGACAATATGCAAGAGTTTCATTGCTCTTGCGGTCTATGCATGGACCGATGCACACGGCCAACAAAATTTACAACGCCTTCTGCCACACGTACGGCATATAGACCACAGATTCAGCTTTACAATGTTTCCAAAGGAAGTATAATATTCACTAGTAGAAAAACACCTATTAGATCCGGTTCGTAAGGGCCTTTAGTCCCGGTTCATGAACCGGGACTAATGGGTCGTTACTAATACCTGTCCCATTAGTCCCG